ACTACCTCAAAAGCTACGCTCGATCCTAATACCCGAGTACAGGTGCGTTGCTGTTGAAGTGCTGAATAGTTTCGAATGCGGTTTCCTGTTCTTTTCCCAACTCCACTTAACTCCTTTGTGAGTTAACTTCCTGAACGGCGCCATGATATCAGCGAGTCTTGGCATAAAACGGCTCGTGCAATTCACCATATCGTTTAAGTGATGGATTCACTTCGAGTCATCAGGAGGCGGCATCTCACGAATTGTCTTAATTTTTCCTGGATCGACCCTGACTCCTTGTGTTGTTAGCAAATGCACATGGAAAATCACCTCGTCTTTCCAAAGCTCAACTTTTTCACCTTTAAGCTGGATGTTCTTTTGCACAAAACGCTGTAAGAACCGTTGGAGGTTAGCGTCATGTTATTCTTCGGTCGAGCCATAGAGCAAAACAGCGTCTGGCATGCAAGTTACACCATCTAAATCGTCTACTGCTTTCACCAAGCGCTTTTGAAAAATTTCACTCGACACCTTCAAGCCAAACGGTAAACGCAGCCAACAATGACGCCCAAACGGTGTTGCAAAGGTAGTAAGGAAACTGGATTAATCACCTAGAACCACGTGCTAGAATTCCGAAGAGAGCTCTACCTTCGTGAAACATTTAGCTTTGGAAAAACTCGGAAGAATGTCTTCTAAGGTAGGTAGCAGGTAATGCTGTCTACGCAAAGCCTCATTCAACGGTTTTGGGTCAATACGCACACACAGTTCACCCATCTTCGTCATGATTACGACCTGACTAACTCAGTCGGTTGGCTCGTCGACTTTGGCAATCACACCCTCTCTCACTAATTTGCTCAATTCAGCGGAGAACATGTCACGCAGTGCAAGTGGAACTCTCCTAGCTGGTAGCGCTGTCGGTCAAATTAAAAGATGTGGGGAAAAGTGCGCGGTTTCCTCAAACTTTCTCAAACCTGGGATAAACACAGACTGATACTGGTCACTAATATCGGTTTCTCGTTGGCAAACATGTATAAAATGATTATGATTACAACAACAAAACCGAGAGACTGGATCGAATCAATGCCGAGAATCGCCGTGAGCTCCTCCTCCCCGATCATAAACTTCAGTCGAAGTCAGGCTCGGTCTCTTGGGTTCACGACTTCCATTGTAGCTGAGCCCTTCGGGTGAAGTCTGGAACGATTCCACATACGCAGGCAATCTTGATCGGATCAAATGCACACTCCGAGACAGTGCTTCCTTGCTAGAATATTGACCGTAGCACCTGTGTCTAACTGGAATCGTAGGGATTTGTTTTCAATCAAAGGATTTGCGAAGACACATTTTCGTTGCACCCTCCGTGTCCCGTTGCCAAATGAATGTTCTGCATCTGCGGGGGACTGGTCACGAACGACCGCACTTAAGTTGGTTGATTGGTAGCAACGAGCAAATTTGCGCCTTTTTCCACATGTGGCGCATTTCTGTCCGCACGCCGAACACTCTTCGCGGGTGTTCGGATGTCGCGTGACGCAAAATTTGCAGATTTCCTGTCTCACGGTTGTAGTCTTCACTGTTTCGCCTCCGGAAATGGCACGCGATTCTGCATCTGTTGCGAGCTTCATTTATTGGTATTGATTGGTAGTTGAGGACTCAATGTTACAGAAATCAATGCACTGATGGGGTGCGAAGTTGCGTTGTCGCAAAGGCGGCTTTGTCGTACTTTCATGATTGTTTCCTAGAACGATCCGATCGCCCATGAGGGTGTGGCCCGAGCATCTACAGAAATTACAGGATCGGGCCAAAATCGTCAATTCAGTGATGTACGCGTCGACTGATTCGTTTGGGGCTGTGTTGCGCGAAAAGAAAAGATAACGCTGGTAGGTCTCGTTAGTTCGACCTTCGCAAAATTCACTTAACTTTCCAATGACCGTCTCCAAATTATTGTGTTCTTCATCTTTGTCGTGGTGCAATGTCTCTAGAACACAGCGCGCGTCATCCCCGGCTGCGTGTCGAAACATGGCCAAGCGATACGCCATCGGTTGTTCGTCCAAACGTACTAAGGTTCAGAAATCCTCCCACTTACTCTTCCATAGATGGCAATTACTCGCCAAGTTCCGTTCATCCATGTTCAGTGAGGCAGGCATCTGAATAGACGGTGGTGATCTAAACAGCATCCGAGCGCCACCGGTGGGCTTCGTCTTTGTCTTCTCTGGCACCGTGTTTTAGAAGTCAGTCCTTCAGGGACAAGCGTACGTTCGGCAAAGACAGCTAGGCGAAAGTTACAGCGTGTTTAGCATGCCATACTCCTAAATCTAAACTGTAGATTCAAGTCTATAACTAACGATCCTTCAAAGTCAATGAGGTTCCTCTTTTGGTGGAGGGTACACCAAATGCCACTTGGAGGTTCCTCTTTTGCTTCAGTTAAACAAATTGTGAATCACTCACACGAATCTCGTCCAATCCGAGTCCAATAATCGAATCCGTCACATGCGCCTCCCATTGGATGTTTGGTTCGCTCGTTCGGTCCATCTGCTCATTCTGACCTGATACTATCATCACAGTAAGCCAACCTGGAAAATTGCACCGACGCCGTTTGCGCATTCTTTATGCTTCCTGATCTTCACTTCAAGGCTTTCTGAAGCTGTAGGGTCGGAAAGCAAATCACGTTATTTCTTTATGTCAGACCGTCCTTCGTTAGCGGGTTCAATGTTACAGACAGCCGGCTATATGCAAACAACTAGAACAGACCGTGAAAATTACTGTGCAAGTAACTTTTATATTGTCTAGGTTCCACCAAAAAAGCCAGGGATGAAAAACCCCAGGACAGTTGGTTATATACACGCAAAACTAAGTTGGAATTGATGCATCCTGCACGCCTTCTCGGATGTTCCAAAATGGCTACAAATATTACGTGGCACTGAACCTTTACGAAGACTGATTGGGCTGGGAAACAATCGTCCATATAACGCCTGCCCGATGATTCGATGGATGTAATTGCTCCGATAAACTTTTTATTTCACCATGCTGATCACGCAATAGTATGCCGATGTGTTTTGGACCAATTTAAAGTCTGTGTGCGTCTGTGGTAACGAGTTTCTTACCAACTGGGTCGGCCAAATGCGAGGTCCCATTTAATACTCGCCTGCTTATTGACATGAAAATATATGCCATTAAAGCAGTTCTTGGTCAGTGCAGAGAAATATGTAAGATCTAGCGTATGGATTTATGGCGCATATGGACAACTTACCGAATTTTCGACTGGTCTCCAGATTCAAAATTCCCCACTTTCCCGTTCATTGTGTGCCTTCATTGACTGAACGAACTTATGAAATTGTTCCCTGTAGAATGTTTGTTACTTGTTTAAACGCACTGATTCTAGCTTATTTTTCGCTTACTGCTGCTTCGACTAATCCACTTTATTTTGTTTACACCGTTGGGTTCCATCATCATCGCATCCAGCCATAAATTTCTCTTTGTTTCCTTGCAATGTACCTAAGTATGGCTGGTGAAGCGCACTCCCTATTTCTACACTCAATTGTTCTCACATATTAATAATAGCAGGAAACGGTGGCTATTAGTGCTAGTGTCTGCAACAGACGCGGAAACAGCGAATAAAAGGCTAATCATACACCGAAGAGGAGAGGTTCGGAGCTGGTCCCTTCCAACATTGAACCTACCCCCATCACTTTCATCCTTATTTGGACTATTCAGGAGGAGATAGCCTGAATTGGTAACGAAATCTGACTCGTAATGGTTGAAAGTTTACATCTTAGTCATTAGGCCAGAAGTTTTATTTAAAGTAAACCATGCTCCAGCAGATTTTGCGAGCGTAACCCAGACAAACGACGGGTATTCCATGACACAACGATGAAGATATCAAACACCGTTCATAGATTTGTATCTGTACTGATCACTTAACGATAATTGGATGCGCAGGACGACCAGCCCAGAATGGCTTCGGTTTAGCACAGATGAAACGCAGCACTGTCGCAAATAACAAACAAGCGGATTTGTTCAATTAAAATCGAACGAAAGCAAGTGTCGGTTAATGCACTTGAGCCAGCAATAAAGAGCAGTGTTTAAGTATATGTCAATGAAAAGGAAATGCAAATATGGAGCTCACAATTTGCTTACATAAAAAGTGATCAATAGGTTCATGAATACCATAGAATAGAATAGTGTCCCGAATTCTATATGGCTGTCGAGGTTACGCGCAGTTTACCCACTAATTCTAAAATCGGCGTCTTCAAACTGACCAAGGTGGAAGACTAAAAAGTTTATATTTGTTGGGGTTCAGAAGAGTTGGATAATACATCGGAGGACCAGAGTAGGTCCTGTACAATTTGATAGTTCTACTTGAAGGCCCCAAAACCAGTAGTCTAGTGTAGTTACAAGGTGCGAACTCAGAATGCACCTGATCCCGAGCAGTGCAGGGTTGATATTGGTATCCTTCACCGCTTCGCAGAACATCCCGTAAAGCCTCGTGATATATGCCCGGTGACATAGCGTTGGATTTTTCCGGGGCATCAAACAAAGTGCGCATGCGACTGATATCAAAACTAAAGCACTGGGTTCACCACATCGTGAAACTACAGTCTGAGTACCCGGATGTAGTACTCTGCGGGCATATGTTACCAATCCTATCCATTCAATCTCTCACTCTCTTGTTGTATATAACCGCCTCAGGGGACGATAATTGCATGAGAGTATAAAGCATATGCTCAGTAGTAAAGTTAGAACAAAGGGGGTAGACAGTGCGTGTATGCGCTTGGTAACTGCAACTGGTTACCTGAACACTACATTGCTTATATGTGAATTATGCTAAAAGATCGAAGTATCCACTACGTACGAACACAGATCTAGGTATGTTCGGAACTGTGTGATTCACGGATCATCCATCTTTGAGTTTCACTGATTGACTTAAATCACAATACATGTTTGAGGAAAATATGAGTAGAGGCGTGAATTCCTCTGAATTAGTCCAATGCCTACCAAAATCCATGCGCTTTTATTGACAAGCAACTTGCCCGCATCTGGGACATCAGTGGGTCTTCGTATTCTGCGAATTTGTTCCAAATTGTGCAGATCAGGCGAAAGGCCTATGGGGGAAAACGGGGAAAGACGGAATATTTAATTGAATCATTTATACCGTGCGACAAGTTGAGATATAATTCTATTTTACTAATTAAATGGAACTTAACAAATATGGTGTTCTGAATTCGTTGTCCCAGCAGTTCAAGCAAAAGGAGCAGTAGGCGTGGGTGTAGTCACCATTGGCCATCATCTAGAAAGTCCAAACGTTTATTTCCATACAGCTTGTGCACCGCCTATTACGACCCATCCCGCAGCAATATTAGTTCACACGTAATACAAATAGTTGACGTTGCCAACACGATATTGAAGACTAATAAAGTCGAGACCATGCTCTTTAAAAGAACTTTTAATGCATGGATATATTTGATGGTGCTCTTCCCAACACTGGCAGTGTGCCAGTGTTGGGAAGAGCAACACCCAAATATATCCATTCAGGATACGGTCCTCGAGATCGGAATGACCGAGGTTTACCTCAAAGTGAGCCGAGTTTTCAATAGAGGTTGCGAGTCGCAACCCAAGCACACAGCGTGCTTCCTAAATTCAACTTGAACTTTTAATGCAGTTGCTCGTGATAGTTAAGGTGGATATTTAAGCAGTTTTCCGTGAGTAGCTTAAACTATTAACTACCGGGAATTCGCTTTATAGGCAACTTGAGGTTTGTGATCCAATTTCCACATACCGCTCAGTTTTCGTTTCTCTGCACCAAACTTGTGCCAATATTAAAAAACGTCAGGTTAATTTTTACCAACTTGTCACACTTTTAGCATAACGTCAAAGAAATATCCGGTAGCAAAGCTACGTCATTCACCTTACCAGAATAAATATTCCCAGTTATTACGTTAAGTTGGCAATCATTCAACGAATTGCGAGACGCATGGTGAGCAGAATGAGTTTTGATTTCAGATTTATGCGGCACGAACATCTTAACTTCCACGAAACACGTTACGGTTTGATAAAGATGAATCAATCAAACTAGTCCATCCTTTCCGGTAAATACATTTATTCTGTTTCTGGTTTTTCAGCACATCAGGTATTATCGAGGATGCACAAGTAGATGAGACAAGCGAACCGCAACGTTCGTAAAACCTAAAGACCAGGAATAAATATCCCCTTTGCAATAATGTGAAGATGTCATATGCGCTCTTGTTTATGTATAAATGAATTGTAAAGTGTAGGAATAACAAACGGAGTCAGGAGACGAAGTTACTGGTTAGATAACCACATAATCACTGACCAAACTCACACCAGTGCAACCTTCAGTCAGTACTTCTAGGCCTACTTTAACGTATATAATGACCCCCAAAAATTGGATGCACCGCCATCAACACTTGATCAATTCACTCGTGAGAAGTTTGAACTTAGTGACATACAAAAGCTTGTGAAATACACAAAACTATCCAGCTTTGGCAGACTGGATTATATACCCCATGCACTTAGTAAATTCGGGGTGTCGACATACCCTTGCTTTTACTGAATATGTTCACCTTATCCATGAACTCTAGCACAGTATCAACACACTGGAAAGAAGCCATTGTCATACCGCGTCAGAAATCAGGATCTCTGTTCGAAACAAAGAATTATCGTCTAATAAATCATACAACAATCTTATCCATATTGATGGAGCAACGTATAAAAATTTCAACGGTCAAATTCCTACTGTCTCGTTAATCAACGACTCTCAACACGGCCTTCTGAATGTAGCTTCGTGCATAACGTGCTAAGTTGAATTTCTACATCAGCTAACCGCCTCACAGGTTAACGGCAATTCTGTAATTGTTATTTATCTCGATATGCACAAAGTTTTCGATGGAGTTCCACGTGGAAAACTAATATCCAAATTGATGTCGTTTGGAACCCCTGCTTTCAAGATTCAAATCGTAGTTTACAAATCGAACGCAAGTGGTACAGATTCGCGAACACAAATCTAAATCAACAGCAGTCAAAAGTGGCGCAGTACAGGGTACTGTACTTGGTCCTACACTGTCTTTGATGTATGTTAACGATATACTCGAGGCTGTAAAATTCGGAACACCATTTGTGTTAATCGATGATATTAAATTATCTACACTGTTCACCCCGCAACCATGAAAGAAACTGCAAACATGACCCAGCTCGACCTCCATGCGCTTAAAACCTGGTGTTCAAAGTAAGGGATGTCATTTACGACAGATTGATGTTACGCTGTCATACAAATGTGACATAACATCTAGCAGCTTAACCGTTTGTAATAAGCAAATTGATATATGCCATACTGTTCGTGACCTGGGACTTAGATACTCATGCTCGCTCAACTTCTCCGAAGAACTCGCCTACGTCAATGCATAGACCAGATAAAGGATTGGAATATTATTTGGAAATTACAAAGTAAAAGCATCCACACTCTGTGCTTAGCCGACGCTTCCGCGTCCTCTTTAGGAATATTGCTCGATGATGTACGGTACTAAAATAAACCAGACGGCATTGCGCTAGAAACCATACACAAAGCGCCTATTAGGAACATCACTGAAATTAGAATATTCCGAGCGATGTAAAATACTCAAGTTTGATCACATCTGGTTAAGGCGAATGAAGCACAACGTAATCAGATACTATAACATATTGTACAAGAAAATACACGTTTCCAACCTTAACATGGCAATAATACAATCGCCATCATACAACACATGAAATAAGGAACATTCGGTAGTGGAATGCAGGTCGAAGGCCACCAAATCCGCTGACTTCTTCCTTAACAGATGTGCACGAAACTGGAACAAGTAGGCAAACGATATCCATGCTAGAATTTCAGAGCAGAAATTTCAAAAAACGGCCAGCAAATACATAACCCTGAAACATGTGATCTATCCTTTGGGATATCACATAACGATTAGCGAAGCATACGAACAAGGTCGAGAAGGCTGTTGAACGGTTCGCTGAGCTTGGTAATTTTGTTACAAACGTTTCGTCACCAATCGAGGTGACCTCATCAGTGCGCAGTTGAGTGGCGTGCAATAGCGTAGTGTAGCGTAGAGGAGTCTTGCTGAGTAGTTATATGATCCAGAAACCAGTCTACAACCCAGAGAGAATATTGCAATAGTAAGGTCCCTATACTCACCGTCTTCATCTTTCTTCCTCCTTCTTACTTATGCCAACGACAAAGTTGTTACCAACAAGTGAGTTCTGGGGGAGGAAGTCATTTGAACATGCCTCATTCCCCGTCTTCATTGTCGATGCACCTAATACTTTTATTGTAGCTTACCCTTACGTTTATCGATTATAGGTGCTCTTCTTGCTCCGGTTTCATGTGAGTGTCACCAACAGAATTCGATAGTACTAAATAGTCATGAACAAAGCAGCCATCAAATATGCTAAAAGAACATTGATACCTACGTTATACATTTCCGCATTTATATTCTCAAGAGACCTACCAAACCCGACATAGACATCGTGTACAATATCATGTAACAAACTGAAACAAATGGCAACTTAGATACCCTATCAAAATGGAAAACAATTTTCATTGCTGTTGTACATTTTTAAGCATTCGTGGTCCTCGAACTAGAAAATGATTTATTTACCTGAACATGCCGTCACAGGCGTATCTCACCGAAAACCAGAGTATAAAATTTTCTTACTTATTTATTTGGTGGTATATTGTGTAGAATAAGTGCCGGAACTTGACATATCCGGCCGTATGATCGATTAGGGATGAGCAAATTGAAAGAAAAGATAGTAACAGTAATAGTGAATAACCTATAATTGTAAACTTACGGGTTACAGTATTCCATCTGAGCAGTTCGCACGGCTTTATGTATTATCCAAAGTTATCGTCAATGATTTCCAGGTAAAATGGAGGTAGGTTGATTTGTTTTTGCTTTCCTGCTTTTTGTGTTGGTCGTTATAGTTACCCAGTATGGTGTACTACGACAAGTGCGTCGTCGACGCGAGCCTTAAACGCGGATAATGTGGGAGATGGAATCACAGCATCTGAGAGGGCATTCCACGCGTCGCAAACACACAGCGAGAAGCAGTTTCTTCGGCACTCCAACCGAGTGTCTTGTTCTGCCACTTCGCGATGATGACCTCTCAGTTTTTGTTGTGACTCATCTACAAGAGGTGATGACACGGGTACAACGTTGTTTAAAATTTGAAAATTCATGATCAGGTCACCACGTAAACGCCAACAGCGTTCGCTGAAAATAACATTCTGAAGCGCTGTTCATATAACGGTTCGGATCCCCTTCTTCGATGCTTACTCCGACTGCACCGAGCAGCTAAGCCCATTCTGAACCAGCACACTGAGATCCTTTCGTGAGAACAGCGTTGCAGATCCTGGTCCCCCAGTTTACACGCGTGGACCACTTGGTGTAGTAAATGGAGCACTCAAAATGTAGTCACATTGCAGCAAAGGCAATTTTGGACCTATCATCCATAGATCTTATCAAGGTCGCTTTGAGGCTGGATAGGGTATTCTGGAGCCCTGATCGCTAACCAAACGTTTATGTCATCTGCGTAGAGTAGAGCTGTATAATTCTATAATGCGCACAACGAATGTAGGCATGCTGACATCTGCATGATAAGGTTGTGCGTGTCGCTTACATCCTCGCATTTTATAAGCTTTTCTGAGTAAAATCGATCGGCCGGAGCACAGGCCAAGTGAACAGAACAGGAGAATATTTTCAAATACCATAAGTAACTTGCACTATATTTTACAAAAACAACGTTTGTTTATTGCTCAACTGCAGCGCACCAGATATATATATCTCACTAATGTCAGGAGCGAAGCAACTTACTTTTTCGTCTATACCAATCAAACAGCAGGGGAAATTTATTGTGTGCAGTGAGTATCGTATGTTTAGACTTGTGAATAAGCGCTGCGAGCTTCTAAGTGCTAAGTGCAATGTCAGGAGCAGATTGGAATTTAACAATCCACACTACCCCGGAACACCTATTTGTGGTTCATCGGCTCGTTGATTTCGTCAGTCAGGTACCATTTAAATTCAAGTCGACCTTTAATAGAGGTTAAAACCAGTGTCTAAGATTATCGCATTATTCCTTATTTTGTGATAAATAGTATTACATGTTAATCAGTTGACAAAACCCGTAGAAATCCGAGTTGCTACGGCACACACTAGTAAAACCTAACGAACAGTGACCTGAATACGTTTCCTTTTCTACCACTGCTTCAACACATATCACATTTAACATGTCATGCACCACAGAGTATGGTACTCAGAGAATTACTCACCTCCATGGCAGCAGAAAATTTTACCGCCTACAATAGCGGCTATCGGAAGGCAGTTAAAGACGTCCGAAAACGTTTTCCATAACTTGACACTGAATCTCCGCTTACCTACAAAATGGTGGATGGGGAAATGTTAGACATCAACGCTGTTAGTCGCAACATACAGAAAAACAATGCATGGGCATGCTACTGGGTTCTCCTGTTGCCAACGAAAAAGTCAAGCCTGCTGGGATCTTTCTCACGCTCGATTGCTATGGGCCAACTTTTAAATTCTCATACAGTTTCATTTCCAAGGACATCTCTGACCAAGTTTATAATGATTTTTACTTTCAGTCACATATTGAAGGGACGATTTCACTGAATTTAGTATCAGTAGTTCGGTCAATTGGTTCGACCAGTCGACATGGCAAAATAAACCATTGGCTAACGTAAATTGTGAGGGGTCGTTTTGTGTTTCGGTGAACTAGTTCGATTTTCACCACTCTCGATTTGTCGCTGTAGGCTGTCATCTGTGTGGAGAGATAAGGCGCATTTCGTCCAGGCGGCTCTCTTTTGCACCCGCCCTTATCTCACCACATAATTTCGATCTAAGGCACTTACAGTTTGCATGGTTCTTACCAAACACTAGCCAATTGGATAACTTCTCCATGTTACATGAGCCCAACAAGTGAGAAGGTGCTGTCTCGGGGATCGTATTGAGAGTGGTTTGTTTCACAGTCTGATAGTTGATATTGTGTTTGCACATCACAAGCCAATTGCAGAGATAGTAACAAGCTTTTCCTTTGGTCTTTTATGCAAGGGAAGCGTTTATTCAACATGCCGCTTTGCTGATAGATAAGGTACTCAAACGTTTGACTTCTCGGCACTCATCAAAACAGATAGAATTTGACTCAACCCAGTTATGGAAATATAAAATATGCATATGGGTAAGCACAAGCCGCTTCTTTTATGATAGTAACCAAATTCCTCAAGTTATTTTGCACTGTGAACAGTACTCATCATATGACGTTGTTCACGAAACCTCACCGCTCAATCACTAATGGGAACTTTTCGTGTTGTCTATCAGAAAACATAGGTTAACTATCTGGGGGGCTCTGTTACTCGCACCCAAGGTATAGCAAACTAAGATAAACTGTTCAGTCTTTCACCGGTCTATAAAAGCTGTTATCTAGAAGCATGAGCCGATTTAATTTGTAAAATACTGAACTTACCAAATTCAGGGCAGTTTATTATACTTGAGGATGTGTAGCCAAGTCACACACTGAAGCAAAAGAAGGGTCTATTTGTCTGCACAAACATGGTAAGCAATTTTTCCACTTCCGACGATATTAAAATTGCCTAGTATTTCCGGTGTTCTCGAACCGGATTATATGTTAGCAGATTTATCCTCGGAAAAATGCAGCGTCGGCACTTTGACGCAGACAGGTATAATGCACTATATCGCATTTGCAATGAATCTTCTGGCGATCTAAATCCTAGCAATAATGATGCTCCCAAGTGGGACATAACGCGCGACATGGGACCGATGCACTCTGCTCCTTTCCATTTCGCTTCAGTGCACTTCGAAAAGGTGATTGACCGTATTAGTTAACCTTTATTCGGAAGAAATCTATACAAAAGGTACTCAAGTTTTGAGGCCCAAGTTGGAATATTGCCCCGTTATCTACGGTAAGGTGTGCATCATGGTTATTCCCGCATTAGAAAATATACATCGGTGATTGACAAAATAATTTTTTATTTTATCGTCATGTGTGAACTACCGTGAACGTCGCAATTCGTTGAAATGAAAAGTAATTGGTACATGCAGCACTAAGCTTAATCATAACTTGATTTTCAGCCTCATCGTCACTTCGAGTTTCCCCGTCCAGCCTAGATTACATCTGCATGTTACTAGGCAGTATCCGATATGAAAGAGTGAGCAGATGGTGTGCCTTCCAAAGACTTGTTTCGAACTTCCCTCAAGCTTCAATACAAATACAAAATAAGTGTAGTGGAGGGTAGTGTAGACATGCAAATGCTATTACTTGAATTAAGTGCACTGATAATAAGTCAGGCAGTCTGGAAAAGCACTACTCCGTCGTTTAATGCTTTCCGGAATCTTTAACTGTGCTCACTTCATACAACGCTTTGGGGTTCGAACACTCGACCCACTACCGGGCCATGGGGAACAGTAACTACCCACAGGAATAAGTTACGAGATGCGATTTAGATGCCCTTTCTTCACTGACACACGTAACTGCTGCCCGGAGAATACAATAGCGCCCTTCTCTGGTAATGGATACCCTAAATTAAGACACCGGTAAATGTAGGACATTATAAGCAGTATGGGCTACGTATTGAAAGAAAGAAAGTATCAGGGGAATATAACTGGCGTACGTTCAACTCCGCACCTCTGGATTCCGCAAGACAGCCAGCACACGTCCATAAAAGCACTGGGACCGTGGTCTACTAACCAGCGCATGAGATTATGATCGAGGGTGCCAGCCCTGAAAACGACAGATGAAATACGCGCTGCCAACGATTCACGAGATGAAACGGCCATTCAGTGATGGCTGTTTGTTCGAGTTTAGGTGATAATTCAACTTAATTAAGTTTGCACCAATGTAAAAGAAGCTACCATAGAAGATCATAAATAGCAATATTCATTATTAATAAAACGGGACGAGCAACCAAAATTGTATTTTACTGGCATCTTTTCAGTCTTCGTCTCTAAAACAACCCGTGACGACCCGTAGGAAATGTTCGTGAGGTTTCGCGGAACTAGACATTTCAATGATCACGGTTATTTTCCTACTGACTTAATGCCTTAGCTATTTTCCTCCTTGCCGCGTACTTGCACCGGGTTAGATGGATGACGATGAAGGGGAAACTGGTTGGTACGACAGTGTTGACGATGGAGCAATGGTACATTACGGAGGAAACAAGTTTCTGGCATGTGTTGCGAGAGGGCCAAGAGAAAAACCACAAAATGTAAATAGATAATTTGGTGACAAAATGAACAAGATTTTAGTGGACCCACTATAGTATTCGCAGAAGATCGATCGTGCGGAAGAAGATTAGCGACAACAACTTTTGTCACGTCACATCTCTTTCCGATATACTTCATAATGTTGGTGGGTTAGGGTAGCTTCAATACGTTTTGAACATGGATAGTGTGAGGGTGAGAATCGCGTAATTAATCAGAGCAATGTAAGTCAGGCACACATTAGGATAGGAAAATGCCTGGCAACATCCCAGGTGACAAAACTGTGTGACTAAAGTTAGTGGCACATTGGGTTCGCGCTGAGACTAAGCATTAAAATGGCGACAAACGCGATTGAGGTTCTTCAGGCTATGGCAGACTATTATAAGGTTGTCCGGTGGGCGCAGAAAGTAAATGTCATGTAGTCTTAGCAACTTTAACCTGAATTGAAGTGGATGTGGAAAGGTCGGTAAACATAGTTGTTAGCTCTTCCTTGTGGCTTTCTCAGTGTGGAGAGATCTTATTTCCACAAGTGTTCCCAGTATTGGTTAACGCGTTCCACATAAGCGCATACTTAAGTGTAAGTATCAGTGTACTAATGGGTATATTAAACCGCCAGGATGCATTTCGCACAAGAACAGCAGGTTGGTTCTTAGTCTGAGAGAATTTGTCGGGTTGCTTTTACTAACCGAGCCCGTACTGAAGAACAACTTCCTTAAGGTAGTGCCGCTGGGAGTCCACATGAAAGTAATTGCTCCCAAGCTTGCATATGCTCTCGGCCTGGCCAACGAATCGCGACCAGGCTGCTTTGGAGTGTTTCATGACATCCCTAGTCGCCAAGCCTTAGCTATTTTGTAAAGTGGTAAACTTTAGGCCACCGCAGGCAAAAGATTAATAATGAACGAAGAAATGGGACGGGCCGCTGTACTAGCACTTACGGAAATCATAAACTGACCTAACACGGATTTGGCAAGGGACTCCAAGGCCTAAACTGCAGTCGTGGCAACCACAGAAATTTCCTAACACACTCAGGGGTACTCCTAGATTCCGTAGTTCTTGGTCGCATGGAACACGTCTCGGTGATCCAGAGAGTCAAAGGCTTTGAAGAACCCGGGTAAATGGCATCAGTCTCTGCCTATCAGTCAGTCATTTCCGTACGAATACCACGCTCAAATAATGGGCTGTAATACATGATCGAATTTGGCAACCGCCGTGCTGTACAGGTGCTATGATCTTGCAGGGTTTTAACTGTTTGACTAAGTTATAATTGTTTTCCACCTCCTTCGAAAGCACAAAGAGGCAGAATACCGCTCGATAGTTTGAGGGCTCTGAAACATCGTGGCTGTTAAAGTGTAGAGTAAGTAAAGCGTTCTCCAATAGAGTAGCTAGCGTATGTTTATCCAAACATATGTGGAAGAAATGTCTTCAAAGCCCAATCAACTTTGATACTGCTGATCTCATCGCCACAATGTGAGTCTTATCTGCCCATGGAGGATTACAGGTGCACTTTACCCAACGTGATCTGAGCATGTCCTGGAATCAAACTTGGATGTGTCGCTGTTGGGCAGATAATTAATTTAATTTAGTGTATAGGGGAATGCATCATTCGTCAGGCACAGACAAGTTCATTGGTGCCCTGTGCCACTCCAGCTTGTGTTAAGTGGTGGAATAGCGTGGTTTACTTTAAGCATGCTAGCCTCTTGTTAGTGCGAAATTTACAGGTCAGGTGTTGTTGTTAAATCAATTTGTTCCTACGGACAAACGTAAAACAGTAGGTGCATCGGGCCACATGGCAGTTACATGTTTTTGGACAAGGATGAACTGTAAGTACACAACGCCACATCCAATGTTGTGACATGCTGCGAATTCCGCTTTCGGTAGATGATGATGTCCTAAGGAAATGAGTCGTTTTTGCCTATGAAGCAGCTACGATCAGGTGCTTAAAAGTTCAAACAAGCTGTGTCCAGGTATTGCCGGGGAAACGCTTCTTAAAAACTATCAGGTACTATCAACTAGGTCGGTAGTGAAATTGTAGTATGTGCTAGTACTGGTCGCTTTGGTACGTTCCTGCTTGTACGTTGCGTACGCTACATGACTATTACGTATGGCTACACGATCACATCACGGTATTTATCAATGTCCTGTCGCTTATGAGTCCCTCACTCGTAAATACACCGTCCCACAAGGATTGCATATTGTCTACTTTCTGTCTGCAGTTCGGTTCTGAAATTTTCGTTGTGTTGTGCCAAGATGATCGGGCCACGTAAGTTGTAGTGGAGACAAGAATGCGACTGTAGCGTAGAAGTAGGACAGCTGTGAATATCGATGTTAGGCTGAAATCAATCTTCCGAATAAACAACAAAGTTAATAAACGACTATCAAGAGGTACCTCCAATATCTTCAACGAAAATGGTATCGAACAGAGTCCCTCAGTTCCGTCTGTGTAGCACTTACTGGCTCGCACTTTAAACTGATGCCATAGTGCAGCATTGCGCCGTCCGTGTTAAGGCGGTCATTTCGGAAGATAATCAGTCAAAGAATCGCAACTTCGGTATCCGAAACATCGGAGAACAATCATATCATAGCATTGCGTTTGTTGTCGGAACTAACGAAATTTCAAAAGCGTGCTGAGGGAAAGTAAGATATTAGTTCTCATGCAGGAAAGTCTCTTGGATCAAAAAATGTGGTCTGTCGTGTAAAGCCATTCTAGAATTAAAGCTGTATTTCGACCCTGATAAAAGTTTATTTGCTATCAAAACAATGCACTATATATATGGCCCATT